TCAACAGACGAACCCCTTACGTTCATGGGATAAAATACCCCGTTCATTGAGTAATTTACCTAAGGAAATAGGCGATTTACCTCACAAAAGACAAAGAGGTAAATAGCCTCCTTCGTGAGGTAAATTACTCAACAAGTATGCAAAACACACACAAAAAAGAGGCCTTCTAGCCAAAAAGATGAAATTTGGTGATCTTTGCATACATTATAAGAGTGTGAGCCAATGAGCCTTTTAGTAAAAACGAAAAAGTTAAAAACCAAAAGAAGGGCGAAATGCAATTGCATATTGTAAACTAAGAATTGCAAACAGACGTTACGAAATTGCATACATATATATATATATATGCAATTGCATGTTGAATTGCACATAGATGCTACGAGATTGCATACATGTAAATGCATATGGATATTGTAAATTGAGAATTGCACACATGTGCTATCAAATATGCGATATATGCCCACAAAAACCATTAAACGTGGATAAATTGTTGATTTAGTCCTTGAACTTGTATCCAATTTTCAATTTATCGCATGACATTTTTTAAAAAAATTACGGATATGAATTTGTCTTTATCGCCAATGTCTCCTCTGCCGTTTAATTCCCTAACATTTCGTCCAATCTATCATTAAATATGAGGGCACGTTGGTCATTTCATATGTTAAGCATAATTGAATTATGTAAAATAAAATAATATGAAAGGATGTTAAATATATGCCTTAAAGCCAAACATGCGATGTTGCTTTCAAATCTGGATATTTCACCATCATTTATGGGCAAAATCGTTGTTTTCATCTATGTTATTTAGTCTATAATCATAACAGCACAACATTCCTTGCAATGAGATTGGATATAAGAAGACTTCTCATACTTCCACTTCACTTCATGGTAATATATCATCAATTGGGCATTGATCATAATCGAAAAAGTCCAATTTTCTTTTTCATCAATTCAATGTGGCTCAATCAATCGACCATCATTAAGTAATAATTTTTGTTGAAAATTTTTAAATTTATATTTATATCAACAATCATATGTTTGATTTTATTGATTTTTTTAATTAATAATATAAGAATAATTGGAGATAATCAACAAAGTTCAATTTTATTCCCAATAGTTCATTGGGTTAAATTAGTAGTAAATCACGAAAGTTATATTCAGTAATTTAAGCCAACAAACCTACCTAACAAACACTAAGCGACTCGTTCATCGGGTAAATGATGTTGTTTGTTAACCAATTATCCAACGAACTCCATGATTTACTCAACAAACAAGGTATTTTACTTCGAGGACGCAAGGGGTGCGCTCGTTGAGTAAACTTTGTCGTTCCCTGAGAAATTGGACCAACTAAAATACTTTATCAAATAAATGCGCTATTTTTTCACGTAAACGCAGGGGGGTGTGTTTGTTGAATAAACTTGGCTGTTCCCCGAGAAATTGGACCCAACTAATTTACTTTTTCAAACAAATTGGCTATTTGTTCACGCAAACACATAGGTTGCGTTCATTGAGTAAAGTTGCCCGTTCTCCGGAAAAATGAGCCCAACTAACTTACTTTTTCAAACAAACGGGCTATTTGTTCACGCAAACGCAAGGATTGCATTCGTTAAGTAAAGTTGCTCGTTCCTTGGAAAAATAGACCCAACTAACTTACTTTTTCAAACAAAATGGCTATTTGTTCATGCGAACGTAAGGGTTACGTTCGTTGAGTAAAGTTGTACATTCCTCAGAAAAATGAGCACAACTAACTTACTTTTTCAAACAAGCAGGCAATTTGTTCACATGAACGCAAGGGGTTGTGTTCCTTGAGTAATGTTGTCCATTCCTCGGAAAAATGAGCCCATCTAACTTACTTTTTCAAACAAACGAGCTATTTGTTCACTTGAACGTAATGGGTTGCGTTTGTTGAATAAAGTTGCCCGTTCCCCAGAAAAATGGGCCCAACTAATTTACTTTTTCAAACAAACGGACTATTTGTTCACGTGAACGTAGAAGTTGCATTAATTTGAGTAAAGTTGCCCGTTCCTCGGAAAAATGAGCCCAACTAACTTACTTTTTCAAACAAAATGGCTATTTGTTCACCCGAACGCAAGGGGTTGCGTTCCTTGAGTAAAGTTGCCCATTAAAAATGGGTCCAATTAATTTACTTTTTCAAACAAACGGACTATTTGTTCACGCGAACACATGGGTTGCGTTCATTGGGTAAAGTTGCCCATTTCCCGAAAAAAATAGACCCAACTAACTTGCTTTTTCAAACAAACGGGTTATTTGTTCATGCGAACGCAAGGGTTTCATACGTTGAGTAAAATTGCCCGTTCTCGGAAAAATGAGCCCAACTAACTTACTTTTTCAAACAAACAGGCAATTTGTTCACACGAGCGCAAGGGGTTGCGCTCGTTGAGTAAAGTTGCCCATTCCCCGGAAAAATGAGCTCATCTAACTAACTTTTTCAAACAAACGGGCTATTTGTTCACCCGAACGCAATGGATTGCGTTCGTTGAGTAAAGTTGCCCGTTCCCCAGAAAAATGGGCCCAACTAATTTACTTTTTCAAACAAACGGGCTATTTGTTCACGCGAACGCAGGAGTTGTGTTCGTTGAATAAAGTTGCCCGTTCCCCAAAAAAGGGCCCAACTAATTTACTTTTTCAAACAAACGCGCTATTTGTTCATGCGAACACAGGGGTTACGTTCGTTGAGTAAAGTTGCCCGTTCCCCTGAAAAATAGACCCAACTAACTTACTTTTTCAAACAAACGGGCTATTTGTTCACGCGAACGCATGGGTTATGTTCGTTGAGTAAAGTTGCCCGTTCCTCGGAAAAATGAGCCCAGCTAACTTACTTTCTCAAACAAACGGGGAATTTGTTCACACGAACGCAAGGATTTGGGTTCCTTAAGTAAAATTGCCCATTCCCCAGAAAAGCGAGCCCAACTAACTTACTTTATCAAACAAACGAGCTATTTGTTCAAACGAACGCAATGGGTTGCGTTCGTTGAGTAAAGTTTCCCGTTCCCCGGGAAAATGGACCCGACTAGTTTACTTTTTCAAAAAAATAGGCTATTTGTTCACGCGAACGCAGGGGTTATGTTCTTTGAGTAAAGTTGCCTGTTCCCCTGAAAAATGGATCCCACTAACTTACTTTTTCAAACAAACGGAATATTTATTCACACGAAAGTAAGGGGTGCGTTCGTTGAGTAAAGTTACTCGTTCCTTGGGAAAATGGACCCCACTAACTTACTTTTTCAAACAAATGAGCTACTTTTTTTGGCGAACGCAGGGAGTGCGTTCGTTGAGTAAAGTTCGCCGTTCCCCGATAAATTGGACCAGTTAAAATACTTTATCAAACAAACGCATTATTTTTTCACGCGAATGCAGGGGTTGCGTTCGTTGGGTATGTTGCGTTCATTTTATAAATTTAAATGTTGGTATGTTTGGTAAGAAAAAATAAGAGTTCACGAGAAAGAAGAAGACATGAATGGGTGTTTTATTTTGAGTTGAAGAAATTATTATTATTATTTTTTAAGGAAAAAAACGTATGGGTGTGATATATACTATTGTTATATCCAAAGTCGAATTACATGACTTGGTATATCCAAAGTCAAGAGGGAAACATCCCAGATCGTACGCTAAGGTCCCTAAGCAATCACTTAGTGAAAAAGGAAGTGAATATGAATCTAGATGGTTGCTCCTCATTGTTTGAACCTCATAGGAGCTCTTTATTTATGTAGATGGACACTTGCCTAAATTGTAATCCAATGTTTAAACAAACTATGGATTTATGCATAGTTTATTCATTCTAATCAACATTTTATTTTCAAACTTTTCATTAACACGTATTACATATCACTTATATTTCATCATATGTATATCTTATTATTAGTAAATTTTGAGTTTTATTTGTTCAATACATTCATTGATCATGTACATAACATTTATAAAAAATTTACACCAAAATTACGTATTTCAATTCCTGTATTTGTATAACATTTATAAAAATTTTACACCAAAATTACGTATTTCAATTCCTGTATTTGTCATTTTTGTTGATTTTTTCCCGATACCTAAAACGATAACGATATATTCCCCAAAATATCCGTAAATTAGAGGCCCGATATTTTAACCATTGACTTTACCTTTGTGAGGTGCAGAAATTGGATTCATCACTATCCATGTTAAGGGTAATGATTAAAATATCGATCTCAAGTATAAGAACCTGAAAAACCATTTGAGTTCCAAGAACTTGAACAACCATTTGAGTTCCAAAAACCTGAAAAAGTTTCACTTGCTTATTAAGTCCACACTAGTTTGTGTACTTCGATGTGTACTTCGAGAAAGCAAGAGAGTGAAATTTGTTTGTACAAATGGTAATAATTGCATATATAAGGTCAACTATTGCATAAATAGTATGCAATTGCATATCCGATTTACAAAAGTCATTAAAAATGAATTTTATTCCAATTTAGGCTTTAAAGAGACTACGCAATTGCACGTCCCATGATACAAAACCTAGACAGCGGTGTACAATTACCCTTTCCTCCATCTGTTTTATTTGCAATCAATCAACGACCAACATAACCAAAGGGCATTGGTTAATTTTTGTTAATTCACTTCTGCAAAGCTTCATAACTGATTCAGTAGCAAAACCAAGCTAAACCTAATAATAAAATAAATATATTAAAAAATAAATTGAAAATTGAAATTGCAAACTAATTAAAATAAATATAATTACATACAACCTGCAAATCCATCCATTGTAACATGATATTTAAATCACAATAAAAATTACATTTAAAACTAAAATACTCAAAATGAACTAAGTTATCTAGCACTTAGAAGATCACGAGCAACACAGTATAAGAAAACCTTTATGGGAAATTCATCCCTACTATATGGCACTTTATGGGAACAACATATGGTGCATAACCATTTTCTCAAGTCCTCACTATATGGAATTGTATGGGAACAATGGTTGTTGTTCATTAAAAGCAGAAGATATCACAGTAAGAAATAAATAAAACTTCACAATTGAAAATCACCCTCAGGATGTTACTCTGACATTACTTGATTACAAGATGTGGATGAAGCGTTCGTGAATTGTTACATGAAAGAGTATCACTTGCGTACTCAAACCTTTTCCAAACATCCTATACATATCATGCTTTTATCTGATACATCTCACATGGGAAAGAATGAACTGATTATAACACAAAAGATTTCTACATGCCTATCCATGGAAACTATCCAACACCAATCCAGATTACCTGTTTATATAGCAACTGTGATACAGTTTTTTGAAATCAAGAGCACGCCAATATTACTTAATTGTCAACTCCAAATAAAAGAAAAAGCATAGAGCGTTTCGGTACACGGTACACTATCCACTAGAAGATCTGTAGATTGATAAATTAACCGTCCACAAATGCTAAAACATCATGTAAGACCTAATATATTTTTAAAAAATAACTGAACCTGACATAAATAATTAAAAAGGTTTTACTAGTCACTTGTAGGTGCCAAACTGGTAGTGGGAATGATCAAACTGAGAGCATGGAAATTAAAGCACTCAACAACTTGGGTTGTGTTTTCACTAGGCAACAATAGATGTTTGATACCACAGTTGAAGAAAACTATGAGCTTTAAGAAGTGAGCAAGAGAAAAAATAGAAGTAGCCTTACACTGTCTTGAACCATATCCTGCCTTGCCCACCACAGAAAAGCACCCACACCAACAATTGCTACAAGCACTGCAAGGAGCTGGATGTGAAAAGGCATCAATTTTATTAGAGATATAATCCTACATGCTGATGTCAGAGTCAAAATTAAAAATGATTATATTAGACACAAAAATAGCATAAAACTAACTGTTTTTTTTTTTTTTTTAAGAAATGTAAAGGAACTAAGATTTGTGAGAAGAACCCCAAATCAGTTGCTAAATGAAAGAGAGTACCCAAATGGAAACAATTGCATCCAAAATCCAACCAAGCTGCCCAGTAAATGAAAGATAAATCAATCCAACAGCCAAAGCTAAATTACCCAGAATTCTAGCAGTAGCTCCGTCATCTTTCCCACCACCACCTCCACCACCATTAAACCCAAACCCCTGATTGAACCTCACCACAACCTCTCTGTTCTTCTTCTCTAACTGGTATCTCAATGCTCTATTTTCTTTGATGACTAAGATGAATGATTTTTTTTTACAATAAAATGAAATCTTATGCTATAATTAAAAAAATCTAATTTAATATATTAGAGAACCTCATTCTAATTTTTATTTTAAAAAAAGGACAAGGGAAAAATTGAAGGAAGAAAAATTCACAAAACCCAAACTTGTTGCTCTAAATAAATTAAAAAAATAAGAGAGAAAAAACAAAGAAACAACAACCAAGAGAAGCCAGATGCGTGGGAACTAAAATCTCCCAGCCAGATGCATGTGAATTGAAGTTGAATTTGAATGGTGAAGGGGTATTGTCTTTGTCCCAACGTTGATGGTCAAGCTTTGGCTTGAAATTTTGTTGTACCACATGAAAGTGATGAGGAGCTGCTTCTGGGTGAGAGTTTGGCTTTGTCTACCCACTTCCCCTTTCCCTGTCTGTACAATTCTCACCAAGCAAGAGACCCTCAAAGAAGAATCCACAAAACAGCACACAATCCCTCATTCCAACATTACTTAAATTCACACACACAGGCATGGACAGAGTTCTTTTTCTAAACATTTCTACTCAACTTGCGAACTATTTCAATAACAGAAAGCTGAAGATTTAGTAGATGAAACGCACCAATTCATTTCCCAGAATTAGAAAACAATGCAATAAATCCATGAAAATGAAAAGTAATCTATAAATTAGTAAAAAGGTCCCATTTGAGATGATGGATTCATATTTTCCTCAACATGAACACTCTAAATATTTCTCATAATTATCAAATTGACCAACTCACAATTCTCAAATTCCAATTTGATTGCTTTATGAATTTCCAATCCCAATAACTTAAATTTATCACCAAAGCCAAAATGAACAAGCAATAGAGAGATAATAACATACGGGCAATAGGAATTGGAGAAGATGGCAATCTTGTTGAGTAGATGATGTTCTGTACAAACGCCGAAGGCGAAGTCGAAGCTTCCGCGACGATGACGTTTCCCAACAATATCAGCGCCGCCGCCGCTGCTGCCGTGAACGCAGCACCACCCAACAACTCTAACGCATCTTCCCACGACGACACAACGATCGCAGGTCCGAAAGGCCGACGCAGCTCTGAGACGATTCAAGCGAGTCCGACCCGTCCTCTGCCACCGGTTTGCGCCGTCGAGACTATCCAGCTCCACAATACAGAGGAGTAGGACGAGCGACAGTTCAGAGCAAGTTGAAGAACGAGCGCGTGGTTTTTTTTCCTTCATTAACCTGTTACCCAAAACAGCCGGTTCCCATTGTTTTTAAAAAAACATCACGTTCCTGTCATGTGGGTGACTGTACCGGTACAGCTGATGCACCACAGAAGGACTCTGGTTTTTAGCTCCTACTTCACAAATTTCTCCAGTTTGTCTTCACGAGTTTCAGCCACTTTCCCTGACGCAAGGTCAGGGTCGTTACGAATAGGACAAATATACACCAAGCCAAAATTCTCGAGGTTCTCTTCACGAATTTCAGCCACTTTCCCTGACGCAAGGTCAGGATCGTTACGAATAGGACAAATATACACCAAGCCTTCGAAGGATGAGGTTCCAGTTCAACTCCTACTTCGCGAGTTTCTCAGAAACCCATTCTCTACAACTCCAATTCTTACGCCAGTTTCGCCTGTAGGATCGTAGGAACGAGCACTACAAGAGAAGGTAAACAATTCTTGGATTTGGTTGAGTTTCTAAAATTTCCTCTTTCTAAGTTAGTGACTGATTAGGCTTTAATCTCTTGTTTCCAAGTGTGGTTTGGGAGAATGTTGGCTTTAATCTCTTTCTGAGTTAACGACTGATTGGGTGTGTTGGATATTTCTGAGTTTGATCAGGATAATAGTCATTTTATCTTGAATTTGGGACTGTTTTGGTGTTTAAAGCTGATTAGAACTGATTGTCAAAGAATGAGATGGATGTTGATGAAATCTGCATTTATGCAGAAATCTGAGTATGTGTTCTGTTCTGGACAAAATGACCTAGTTCGTATTTATGTTTTAAACTGGGGTTTTGATGTGTGAAAAATAGACATTTTGATGAGTATTTCAAAACTGATTTCATTCAAATTGGAGTTAAATTGGATTTTTGGCAAATTTTCGAATTGGAATTATTCTGCAGAAAACAGAAAACTCTGCTGCCTAGTCTGTTTTGGATTTAGTCTTTGACTTGCTTCCTTAACTCGGAATTCAATGAAATTTTGATATGTTGAAGTTTTATATGTCTACGTATGATCTGGAAATTTTTACACCATTTTGAATCAAAATGGATTTTTAATGATTTTCCAAAGGCAAAGTGTTCCTGCCTAAATTGTTTAACAAAACTGAAGTTTCTGTTTTTAATTGAAGTCTTTAATTTCTTTAGTAAGTCCATAGCAGAACCACATGATCAGAGACTCCTAAGAGCTAGAATTGTACTAAAAAGTGGATATTTTGGTTTAACAAACCCAAGAAGTGAAAGTGGGTTGTAATTTAAAGTGATAATGTAAGTTGGAGTTTGATGTTGATCCTTGTTGTTCATAGGGATTTCCGACTCTCCTGGAGCTCTACCGTAGTGTTTGGTTTTACGGTTGTGTGGTTGTGTGGACACCAGGTAGGGGTTCTTCACGCCTTGGTTAGAGGTTTTCCTATGTATATGTATGTAAATATTGATGCGTAAGAACTCTACATCGTTTTTGGTTGCTAGTATGCATGTTAGGGAAATGGATTTGATTTTTCTAGCATGCCCCTGTGATAATTGATACTTAATTTGTGACCTTTTATGTTTTTTTTTTTTTTTTGGATACGTGGCCTTTTATGTTGCACCGATACGGATATGAGTACGTTGATACAATACAATATGATACTCCGATATGGCAAATTTTCAAGAAGTAGGATACGGGTACGGCACCAATACGGTGATTAAAATAATATAAATATAAAAATTATAAATATATTGGATGTCGAAACGGTTTCCAATTTATCAAATTTTTTGCAAGGATGATTTATGAATATAAACTTAAAAAATAGATATTTTGGATCGTTGAAAAAAAATTCGTAAGGGATCCTAATGGCTGGCGAAGCCAGAAATTATGCTTTGGGGGGTCAACAACTTAAGAAAACTATGAGAGAATAGATTAATAACCTAAGGCCCTGTTTGATAGGTTGGCTTGGACTGATTAGGATGGGCTTTGAAGCATTGGATTGGGCTAGCTTGGACTGGTTAGGTTTTGAATCCAGTCTTGTTCATATTTGCACCAAACAACAGACTGAAATTAGCTTTTTTGTATTTAATAAATCAATATTTTATTTTATTTTATTTATTAACAATAATTCCAACTTTTTGCCCCCAACTGAAGAAACACCTCAATTTTTTGCAAAAAGCCTAGATCCAAATGAAAAATCCTAATCAAACCAAGAAGATAACTCTCAAACCCAAAATCAAACTCATATACAAACTGAAAATTCGATAGTATATTTTTCAAATTCAATAAAACACAAACTGAAAAACAACATTCACAGGACAAAAGAAGAAGAATGAATTATGCAAATTCTGGAATCCCAATACCAGATATGAAAGATCTTCAATGAAAAGTGAAATTAAACCCAAAAATAAGAACAAAATTACAGCACTCAACATCGTCAACACAAATTCAATATCTAACACAAATTCAAAAAAAATAGTAAGAGAGAGCCAAATAAACCAGAACAAAGAATCTGTTTATAAAAAAAAACCAGAAGAGAAAGGACATGAGAGAAGAAGAGAGAGGAGAGCTGAGAGAAGAAGAGAGATGAGAGATGAGAGAGGAGAGAACATAGCAAAGACGACGCAGAGGGGAGAAGAGGGAGACGAAGAGAAAAGAAGAGACAAAAGCTCGTTAGTCTTCTAAACCCACCTCTCAGCGTGGGTTTTCAAATCCAGCATATGCTGGACTAGTATCCTACATAAAAATTTGAGTGATAACCAGTCCATGATTCATTTAAGCCCACCAAACAACAGATTGGACCCATGTCCGTTTTAATTGAATTTGTCCAATCCAGTCCGGCTCACCAAACGAGGCCTAAAATCTTAAGTATCCATTATTTTTCTACATAAATATTTTAGAATAAGTTCAATTTATATAAGAAAACTTTTATGGTTGTTGTTCCAAAAATATTTAATGGGTTTTAAGACTATATTGGAAGATGTTGCTAATCAAACTGAATATGAATAAAGACACTTACGTTGTAGAAGGTCAAACCAGTTGCTCTACAACCCACTTCCATATGCTTCATGCCTTCTTTTCTTAGGGTCAAGTTGAAAATAATGAGCAAACAAAAGCCTAAACTGTAAGTGTTACCATTGGGCCTTAATTCGCTCCGCGGTGTCCCTCAGGGGAATATACATATATATATATTTACACATAAAATTAGCATTTTGGGCCTTTTTTTTGTTTCTTATGTTTTTCTAGGCCATATATGACTTGTTTCAGTTCTTGGGCTAGGCCCAAATGAATGCATCAGACTAAAAAAGGTATAAAACAATTTTTTTTAACATAGGCCACCTAACATACATCTAAAATGGTACGTATTGTAATTAGGGCACCTAACATCATCTTCTTCACTAGTTAGCCACCTTTTCTTTGCACAGTAATGGCTCGTTTGTTACACAAGACTGTCTTGACATGGACTATGTTTAGTAACTAGCTTGACTTGGCTTGGTTTGGTCTAAGTTGGATAACACTTATCCTGCATTTGCTATATGCTTTGATTAGGATTAGATTTTTTTTTCTTTTCAAAACTATATATATATATATATATAAAATATTATATAGTATAAATAATATAAACATACATA